TGATGCCCTCTTCTACAAAGGTGGAAACTTCAACTGTGGCAACAGTGATGTGCCTCCACAATAGCTAGCTAGCAAGCAATCACTTGGGCAGACGAGACCAGATTAGTTCTACGAGTTGGGGGTCCACAGGCAACAGCAACATTCTTACCACTCCTGTGTGTCAGACCTGATCTGGATGCCATTGCCCACAAGATGACAGCTGACATATCTTTTCTCTCTGAAGCTTGCCTTCATCTATCAGTACATTGGACTGCTCCATGCTCAGCTATGCTTCTGATTACTGAGTGCCTTTGAGCAAGACATCCTTTTTTTCCAGCTGTAGAACTAGGAATTAAACTTTTTTCTTCATTATGCAAGTACAGCTTAGAGGAATGAAGTATTACTATTCTCCTGCTGCTTAATTAGTCCAATGTGAAGGAACTATTATCAGACAAACTGGGGATTATTATTTGTTTTGTGTTTTTTTACAAGTCAAATTCTTACTGCTTATCATGTTTCCACACTTTTGCCTTTCATACCATTAAAAGCACATTCCAAACAAACGTGGATTGTCTTGAACAGATGTGAAACTCTTTCTTTGACAACAAGACTAGTTTAACTAGAAGGGATAAGTTCACCCCTGAAAAAAAAACTACTATAAAATTAGCACAGACATATTCTACTTTCGTTCCTCATTGGAATCAGTCAAGAAAAAAACTGGAGCAGTTAGGGTAAAATTTGGGCTAAAAGTTCTAAACATTTTCAGAAAGGAGTACAGTAGAAAGTACCAATCAGAGACAAAAAGAAATGGCAACAGTTGGTGGTGATGAATTGGGGTTTTTTTGTTTTGTTTTTGTTTTGGTTTTGGTGTTTTTTTTTCAGAATCATAGGCAAATGACAACAAATGAGTGGTTGAAAAATGAGCTTTTACCAAAGTGGGCAGAAACTGTGAGATCATGGAAAGAGGACCCTGGATGCAAGGAAAAGCTAGGCAAAAGATTGACAGATTAGATACTAAATGCAGATTCTGAGATGTTGCTCAGCTATAAAACACAAGCAGGATTTTGGCACTTAGTTACAAAGAAGCTTAAAGAAAAGAGTAAGGAAAGTATCTCATCAGACAACTATTTCACACACTGTCTTTGATTCTACAATCTCTTCTCTAGCATACTATTTCTAAAATTGCTAATACTCCCCAAATAGATTTGTCACTCTAGCACAGATACACACCTTTCTTCCTACACTATCCTTAGTAAGTAAACTGTTGGTTGTTTTTTTTGTTTGTTTGTTTGTTTTTTACAGGTGGGAATAGCAAGCCAATGAACAAACGAAAGAAAATGAGAACCACCACCATTCATTGCTAATGATAAGGAACTCAGCAATCTACTGAGAGAAAGATCTATATACTATGACATTCATAGGATCTAGCACTATTCTTTACAGAGTCTGGGTTTCAAACTTCCATAGGAATTTCTCACTTCTATCTAAAATTGTGGCTTTTTCCTAAAACTGCTCATTAAAAAACTAAAAATAATTGTATCCATTATATATGACCATTCATCTGTAGAAAAATGTCTCATACAATACCCAAAAGTATTGGAGTTCTTTTGTCAGGTACTACAATTTAGCATTTCAAATGAATCTTTATATGGATTCTCAAAGACTATAGTCATGAATAAAATGGAAAATTTACAGATTTGGTGGCAACCTTATAGCACAGCAATTTGCATCTTTCTCTCATTTGCAAACTTCTTGGTCTTTCTAACACTGTGAAATTAATGAATTATGTCAACTACATATCATGCTCTCAGTGACAGAAACAGTAAAATTGTCTTTATGTAATAGAAACAGAATGTCACTAAACAACTGCTTAGACTGAAAAAATTGATATGCATTCAGAGCACTTACAAACTATATACTCTGTATGATTTCTTAATTGAATCACTCTGATTCAACAACATGAAATGCAGCTTGTAAGGCTTTTTAAAAATGAGTGCAAAAATTAAGAATATTGAGACTGAAAATTAAATTTATATTGTATTTACAATATCAGTGCTGAAATAAACTTTACTTTCTGATGATAAATGATGACCATAAATCCTGTAATTTCACATTGTGACTTTTCTGCTTCCTGAATTCCTTAATTCTTGAAGTCCTTGCAGTTCATGAAAGACTAATTCAAAGAACCATAATAGCTCATCATTGGTTAAATAAATTTAAAAGGAGAATGTCTGTCTCTGGAGACACCACTGCTCATTTTAATTAAGATTACCATTTTGTGATGTAATGTAAATAAAGTTTATTGTATCCTCCTGCTCCAAAACTATATTAACTCTTCTATCTACCCCTAGAGATCAGTCAAGATTTAAACTGCTGAGAATATTATTCGTGGAATACACGCTAATTTTAGTGACTTTTGAAAAATTCATTTTATTGTAAAGTCTATATTACTTAATGAATGAATTCTGAACCACTTTATGTCTGAAATGGTGGTAAACATTTTAATCTTGAGAGAACAGTAATGTCTACTCCATAGCTATCAAAAAATTAACTTCTCAAACATTTATAGACAGAATGTACTCTTCAAATGTGGTATTTTATTTGAGCACAGAAATGAACATAGGTAAAATTCTACCACTTGTAGGAGCCAATACTCCAATAATTGATGTGGTTATTTATTCAGCCTTATAGAAATAGTAATCTCTATTGATAAGTCTTGAAAAATAAACAGATAATTCTTTCTCATAAGTGGACCAGCCAAGCTCTTCATAGACTATTACATCAGTACAGATAAGTAGGCATACACAGAACTTTACTGATGTATTTAAACCTATGTAATCTGCTGCGTGTATCTCAGTAGATACCACATACAAATTGATCTGTCAAATATGGCTTGGCTGAAGTTGTATCTTCTCGATTTTTTAAAACAAAATATTAGCTACACACATTACAGTCCTCTTCTTGAGTCAAGCTCAGCAACACTGGAAATACAAAAATAAATTAACTGAGCTATTAACTACCTTGACCTGCTTTACCTTCAGACTTCGTAAGTATGTATCTCAAATAATTGTGCTGCCATGATAACATCTTTCTTGGAACAGAAATCACAGCTAAAAACAACTTTTGAAAAAAAAATATGTTGCTTTAACAGTTTAAAGAGTTAACCATGAAAGTAAACTCAGACTTCCAGCTCAGTCATGTTGCAAATCGCTCCAATACAGGAGAAAACATTTATAAGTAAAATGCTTCTTCAGACAGTGAAAAACATTCTGGCATTTCAAGAAGTGACAAAGGGGGGAGGGGGTGAGGGTGGGGAAGGTTACAACGACCAGGTTTGGCAATCTTGGCATAGATAAAATTATTGTGTCAATAGAACTGAAGTCAGAAATATGCTTAGGAACAGATGAATGCTTGTTTTTTTGCCAGTACAAGGTCTGGCCCACAACTTGAACCAGATAAGCTTGTTATGCAAATGACATTAGCCACCCGGAAGGAGGTAGATAATGAAATTATTCCAAAGCTAACCACTCATCACAAGGGTGACAGAAACATCAGACAAGGTACCAACACATGGATAAAAGGCAGTATGGAATTTATACAGCCATTGCTTTTAATTTATCGTAAACTAAGCTGTCACAAGGCAAGCATCATCAAATATATAACTAATACACATAAATGAGCCAATTATCAGTAACAGCTAAAAGATTCATGTTTGTATTACAACTGCTGCATCTCTTCATGTTAAGAGATTGCATATGAGTATGCTTCCCTACTTTATTGTAAGTGTTAGAGTAAAAAATTAAAAACAAGATCTGTAGATTTGCAGATGTTGCTAGTGAGAGGAAGTAATTAAGAAAAAGTAATTAAAAACAAATATACAATTGGAAGATATTGAAAATTGAAAGGACAAGATTAAAAACAATATATGTTGAACTGAAGGACTGAACAAATGTTAAATCTAATTTTGTATCCTGTTCTCAGACTCAGACGAAACTTCTAAAAAGGAAGATTCATTGGTGCCAGAGTTCCCCAAAATAGAGGGTACTGTCCATAAATACTGTAAAAAGGATGGTTTTCTATAACAGAATGTAATTCATCCACAACACAGTGACTTTCATAGTTAACTGTTGTTTCCACTACAGATTACAGTGTATACACTGATGAGTAAAAAAGGACATGCATAATGGAGAAACAGAACTTAATTCAATTTGCTTCAAAGGGATGTACTTCTACTACTTACACTGGAAGAGATCCTGGGTCACACTGCAGTAATGATAAAAATGGCTTTCCACTGCAGGCCAAACATTATATTTTGCCTGGCCAATTTAAGCATCAGCATGATGAACTGGAATATTTTTTAAAAAATTGTCTATAAAAGTTGCATTAATCTTTCTATTCTTAACTTATTCTAAAATGGGAAGATACTATTACAAAACTGACTGAAAAAGTTGTTAGATACAGATATTGTACTACTCCACAAGAGACTGTAGATACACAACAAATTAAAAATGGAAATTTACAGATATTTAAATCTATCTTGAAAAGTCAGTATTGGTGAGCAGTATTCAAAGTATTTAGTTATCTGGACAGTTGAAACTTCATAGTGTTTGATAATATCACATCCAGAAAATCTGTAGCATCTGTGGAACACATTACACTATTTGTACAACTCTTGTTCATATGCTTGTTGGGTATACAACTTACTGAATATTAGTAAAGTGGAAAAAAAGGCAACTTTTTTCTTTCTTGTCTTTTAAATTCTTATTTTAAACTGACCAGCAGCCATTTTCACTAATCCCTTTTCTCTTTGACACAAAACTCCTCCGCAAAACCATCAAGGAAATCAGTTACATTTATAAACATGCTCCAACTCAATCAAGAAGTCAAGAAGCAAGCTAACTAAGGAGTTCAGAGAAGCTGTGAAACAAATTACATGAGAAGATGGAACAGTTGAATAGCTTTCAACGCCTGAAAAACAGTGAGTTTCTGAATAAGCTAGTTTTAAAACAAATAATACTCACTGTGAAATGAAATGGTTGAATCCTCTGCACCATTTTTCAGGATGCAGCAAAGTAGGAGGAGGGTTCCTGAAAAACAAAGTTTTGGGATTTACAATCTTACTGTTTACAAGAATTTTCTCAGATATATTCAACAAAAATAATACTGTGCCCACTAGGGCTAAAAAGAAGATGGAAAATGTAATGTCCTTCAGATGCCTGTTCATTTTTCTTGCTGCTTTTTCATTGACAGTTTTGCTCTTTTCATGTCCTTCTCCTTTTATGTCAATACCTTTGAAGCTGGCAGTGAGTATAGCTCACAGTATGCTTCACAATATTTCCCTTTTAATTCAGCCTGACTCAGTAAGGATCAACTTAGATTGGAAGATTAACCTAGACATCACACTCCTTAAGCACTTTACCCCAGATTACTGATGCTGACCATGAGTTTTTACAGTATGGTTATTGTAATAAGAGATACCAAGCTGTCAGCATATTGTGAGGTTTCCATCCAGATTTCCATCAGTTTGGCTGATTTAGGAGATAAAGTCTCCATCCTGTAAATGATGTTAAAAATGGATGTTATTTTTAAAATGACATTTAGTGCAGTATTGTCTCTTCCACAGACATTATCTGAAATTCTGATGGGTTCCATGTTACTTGGCATATGATTCCTTTCTGACCATTACAGTTAAATTACATAAACATACAGAGTAAGGCTGGTTGGTCACCTTAAGTGGACTAAATTTCAGTGGGCCAGCCTATAGCAAGAAGTGGTCATGCATTACAAACTGTGTTATTACCTCCCAGAGGTTTCTTCAGCAACCTGACTTTTAGTAAGTATTGCAGACTATTTAAAAGTCTTAAAATCAAACTTTTATTTTATAAATCCTTGTTAACTTATTTTTTTGCTGCAATTGAGGGCTCAGTTCCATTGATCACATATTACTGATGTGACAAAAAAATCATATATGATTTATTCAAAAAACAGAGAAACACCCACTAATAGTCTGGAGTGTATCATGAACTGTCTCATTTATATGAGGGACACATCTGACAGCAAGACACTGCTTGGAAACATCTCACAATGCAAAAAGGCAAACAGCATAAATACAACATAAACTAGTGTTAATCTGCCTAGAGGTCTAGAATTTTTCAAAAACTGATTCAAAGGAGTTACATTTAATAATTACTCTCAAAGAAATCAATTTAAAAAAAGAAGATACCATGTGGGTTTGTCATAGTAGCATCATTTTTGTTCATCTAAACCTATTCAATAGAAATACAGTCATCTAATTTCACTGCAAGCTGTTGTTTTCTGAGATAAGTGTGTTATTACTTTTCTGTTTTCTTATAGAAGACTCAAGGAACACAGTTTTCTTTGTGAAGTGAAGAAATTCAGAATGTTGGAGATATGTACACCTTATCAAATTTACATGTGGGAATCATTTTCAGAGCAGACTTCTTACAATGAAAAAGGTCTGTTGTCAGTGCTTATTTTGCGGGAAAACTACTCTGACAGGAAAACAAATCTGATAATTGGTATTCTGATAAGTACAAATTTTTATTGTATCGTCTAGAAGTACAATGTGTTTCTTTTTAGAATGATACCAACACTGTCTACTGAATATTTATCATGAAATTCTGAACTTCACTAATTTGCTTTCGCAAAAGCTCAGTTACTGCTCACGAAACGTGTAGTTTTGTCTTCCCTATTCACACTGTTCTTGAAGTCTTGCCATGGTGGTAACAACAGTGCTTACAAAAAACATAGTGTTTGGAGACACTATTCATAGTCTCACAAAGAACTTCTTCAAAAAAAAAAAAAGAAAAAACAACACACAGGTACTTAAATTATTTGCAGATGTTATGATGGAAACAAGTGGAATTTCACCATGGAAGAACAGACCAACTGAGCAGATGTCATTCAGGAAATGTATTTACTCATTTGCAGGTTAATGACTAATGAAGGAAGTAATGTTTTTAACCACACAGCATACGTTATGTCCAATGAATCACTAAGTTACTAAGCACTCACTGAACACTATCTCAGAGGTAGACAAGTATGCCTTGTGCCAAATCGTGAGTTATGGCCACATATAGGTGATCATGAATTCTGTAACTCTACAGATGTTTTCTTGAACTCGATGCTTTTGCTTTTGTATTGTTGACAGAAGATCCTATGTTGCTTTTAGAGTTTTCATAGTAAAGTCATAGAATTGGTAGCCCCTCTGTTCTTAAAATCACTAAATAATGGGCTGACAAACATTCCTAATGCTAATCTGTAAAGCATATTGGTACCCTTTGATGGAAAACACTACCAAAATAAAAGTACAAAACAGGGTCACCCTATTCTGGCATATGTAACCATAAATAATTTCCAGGAAGAAGCATGACAGTCATTTAAGCTTCTCTACAGTCTATTTATCTAAGACACCACACAGTGTCTTTCATGGTGATGGCAGAAAACACCAGCACTTTCATGGCACCTCCTAAGTGCACTCCTGTCTTACAATTCAAATCCAACTTTTAGGCCAGGTATGCAAGTGTAACCCTCTATTCAAGTATTTTAGCCTTTTTTGTGAGCACATTAAGCCCTCTGCAGTTTGAAATTAATAATCCATCAAAACATCTGCAATTCATATCACTTAAAAGAGGAAAAGTATAATGACTCAATGTTATCAGATACCAAACTGCAGGGAAACACAACACTTGTCTCATCACTGTGGCTCATCAAAGGTAAAACTAAGGCCATTTGTGACACTAGTTTATATTTCTGACATCACTGAATTTTACCAACATCGAGGAAGCTTCTGTGATACTCAGAACACATTCATAGATAGACTAAAATCTGCTTCTTGTTAACTTGCTGACATAACTTATTCTACCCTTTGCACATAAAATCAGAACACTTTGCATGCAACCTTTCAATCACCTTGGCCACACATACAATAAGTTAAAGGACAACACAGACTCATTTTTCTACTATAACTGATGGAAATTGGGATAAATAGATATATCAGTGGGAGCAGCAGATACACTATTTCAAAAAGCAGGTATAATTGGGCTTGTCTTTTGAAAACGTTCTTGTTTGATACAAGACAAGTAATCAACGATGTATTTCTCAACTTCGTGTGTTTCATCCTTTCGCTCTACAATTAAAAATTAGTCACAGAACTACAGGTTCTGTTTCCTCAGGCAGATGTACTGTGCTTGTGAGGAGCTGCTCTACCATTGTATTCAGCACCTTCCACAGTGGTAGTGATGCCATTTTTCACAGGGAGTTTTGGATCAGTAAGGACTCAAGATTCTGTCTGTACAACAGACCTCATGCAGAAGCACAATGTTCCTTAGAACACGAAGACAAGAGCAAGCTTATCAAACAAGACCTGCTGCTGAATTCTGAATGACACACATACAGTTAAGTGCTGGAAATATGTTAATCACTTGGGCTTTACATATTCCCTGTCATTCAGCTTGCTCCAAAGTCACAGCTGGTAAAACAAAATCACCCATTTTACCACAATAAGGACAACGATACAGTTCAGTAAGCTTCTTTATGGTAAGCTGGGAACCAAATTGCAGATCACAGATATTAGATTGTTACTGGCAAATGGAAAATAAATATTTTCATCTTAAAATAAATCTATAAAAAATTAAAAGAAAACACCCACTGCTTTTTAAGCTACTTTAGTAAAGTTAGCCATACAAACAATAACTAAGATAGAGCCCCCAATGACCAGATTGTATCATCAGCCTACTATACTGTTTCTAATAGAGAAATTAGCAGATGAACCTCCAACATCTGTCACCATGAACAGGCAAACTGAAACTGGGCAATCAGAAAGAATAATTCTGTTGACACTCACCTGCATTATATGTAGACAGAATTTAAATGAAATTAAATCATCCATGCCTATTTCCAAATGCTATGTGAAATAGCCATACAAAAAGCAAAAAGTAAACCACGTGTAATAATGAGATTTCTTTATAAAAGGTTACATATAAATAGTGGTTTGTATTTAAGTAAGTGAATATCTGACATCGATTATTACCTGAAAAATTCTCATATTAGTTTAAAGTTGCACCTCTGAAAGCATCCATATCTTGAGTAACCCACTGAAAATAACAAAAGGATCTTTAACAGGGCTCAGAGGATCTCCCATTCTACAGACCATTCAAACAAATACGAATTTTCCACTGATCTAATTGAAAAACTCATCCTAAACACTCTCCCATTCATCTACCTCCTATTAAAGTCTACTCAGGTTTGATTGAATTTCACTATTATATTTCACCAGTGTTCACTCAGTAGGATGCAGGGTATGGTTTCAGCTCTGTAAGGTTAACAGAAACTGTAGTTTAGATGCCTACAGAAGTGGAGAATCAGCACAAAATACTCTGTGTATTTGAAGGCAGGCCTTTGAAATTATTCTTTCAAAAGAAGATGGAAGAAGGGAGAAAGGGTAAAAGGCATGTTCCTGACAAATTTACTCTCCAGCAACCTTTTCACTCACAACTGATTCATTTCTGAATAGTTCCTCCTTTTCTACTTCACCTCTTATCTCGCTTTTCTTGAAAGGAATGTTTTCCTCAAGTAACTATCTAGTTCAAAACTTTTATCACAGGACTTCACAAATTATCTACTAGAATAAAAGCATATTTTCTGAAATAAAGTACGTGAATTATAACAAAAATATGCTGCTTTAAACAAAGATCGAGACCTAATTTGGGAACATTAAAACCTACGAAGAAAACAGTTAAGAGGAAGCAGCATACATAATATTACTGTCTCATTGCTGTAAAAAGGGATGATTTTGCAAAAGTACTTCGCTGTCTTTTAAATACAGAAAAAGTTATGTTTGATATTATCATACTGGAATGAATGCTCTGTATATTTCATAGATTGTACATAATGCAAAAGTCTGGTCTGAATTTAAAGGCTTAAAAAATTATATTGAGTTGAAAGTAAAACTGACAACTAAGACTGTAAGATAATAATTGTTTGACAGGCTTTAGGGTAACCACACACTTTAAAAGCTTTTTTTTTTGTAACAAAGGCTCCCAATCCAGGGCAATACAAATTGAGT